TAAAAATGGTATCAAAGCTAGTTCATTTATATATTGGAGTATATGTATAGAAAGTTGACATACGAAATTCTTTGTCGAAGACTTAGATTATTATACTTCCTTCTCAAAGAGTCAAAGTATATTAATTTCCTTCCTAAAGAGTCAAATTTAGTTACTTATGTTTTTTTGCCCAAATTATAAGTTTCCTATCTTGTTTACCTTTTCCATCTAATTTCAAATTTTTATTTACTATTTTTATTTTATTTACCTTTTTTTTTTTTTTTTTTCTAGTCAATTTTGCCTTTCTTATATTGTTATTGTTTGTTTATTGTTCTTTACCTAACTGTTGGTAATATTGCAACTTTGTATCTTTGAATAATTATAGGCTAAATGCCAATTTTGGTCCCTTAACTTTAGAATTTTACACAGTTTTGGTCCTTCAACTTTGTATGCACTTTTTTGTTCTTTAACTATGAAAAATGTATTTTTTAACCTTTTCACTAATTAATTCATTAAATTATCTAAATATTTTCATTTTTAATCCTTAAATTTTTTAAGTTTAGGGACAAAAAATTTACATATATTATAAGTTGAAGAAGTAAAATTATGCATATTTAAATAAATTTAAGAAGCTAATTGATGGAACGACTAAAAAAATGTATTTTTCATAATTGAAGGGCTAAAAAAGTGCATACAAAAGTTGAGAGATGAAAACTATGCAAAAACCCTAAAGTTAAGGGACCAAAATTGATATTTAACCATAATTATATGAATTTAGATCATTTAGACGTATCTATTCCATTTAAAGAAAAAAAAACCATAAATAACTTCAAATAATCATAAGCCAATGTGTAATTTTTTAGGGTTTTGCTATAATTTACATTCAGATAATAGTTAGTTAAATAGTATAATAGACTTAATTATAAACTTTTTAGAAAGTTATAAAAACACAAAAAGAATTAGAAAAAGTAGTACTTGAACAATTCCAAAACCTTGGAAGGTACTACAAGGAAAATATTGCAAAAATAATTGAAAATCAAGACTACTTGCAACAATAGGTTGAGTTTGTCAAAAAGAAAGTCAATCTAGTTAATTCTCAAATTTTAAATAAAAAAGAGTCAGGTCATTTTGTTCAAAGTGTTCATCATCATACAACTACCTTGATCCAAAGTCAAGATGAGTTGTTAAAACAAGTTCAAAGACCAAGTCTTGGTTTGAAGGAGAAAAACTTTTTCACTCAAAATTCAAACTATCAAGAAGCCTTGAGTGAAGCAAGAAATTTAGGGAATCCCATGGGATTAACCAATTTCCAACATTTAGCAATTCAAGACTAGGCATTAGTAGGACAATAGAATACCCAAATTATTTTGCTACTATGAATCCTTAGGCTCAAGAAAATATCCTAAGTGAAGTAAAAGAAATAAGAGATCTTTTGAAAGACTTTCACTTAAGAACAATAGGATTATTTCAAGAACTAAGAAGCAAGGTTTGATCTAGGAAGCAAGTGAAAAAATTAATTTGAAAAGAACCCTTGACATAAAAGAGGATCTTAGACAAATAAAATCTAATCTTTTGTCTTTATCCAACATAAAGGCCAAAGAACATAAAGCCCCTAGTTCAAAAAATTATATTGTGTTACCTTAAAATTCAAAAATTATGAAATCATTTAAAATTACAAGCAACTCTTTGATTAGGATGTTTTTTAAAGGAAAACAAATTCATGAATCTACAAAAGTCAAAATCTTAATAGATCTTGAAGAGCAAATAAAAAGATTTAAAATCATAAATTTAACTTGGTCAAACCTAAACATCTTTATGAAAATGCAAATTCTTTGTTTAGTGTTGGATCTATTTTTCAACACTATCAAGAAGCTCATATATCTTGTGTTAGGGACAATGAAAGTGTTACTCTAAGACTATTTAGTAAGAACAAATATTTCAATCTTGAAAAGATGGAATACTCATTGGTTCACATAAGGTTAATCACCATACGAGTCAAAACACTCTATAGGAAAGGTTTATGTAAAAAATACTTTTTAACTCTTTTAAATACAAGACATCAAGATATGGTTCAAGCCTTTATAGGATCTATCAAAATAGACTTATTAGAACAAGGAGGATTTAGTTATTTTACTCTCAATTTTCAAATGGATATAAAGCCTTTAAGTAGTTTATCAAAGTGGGAATCATGACCAAAGGCTATTCCATGACTAAAAGAGAAAATAACCTTTTAGTTTGCATACGATTCACTAGCTAAGTTACTCATAATGGCACTACTGATTATAGAGTAACTAGTGAAGAAATATGTAAGATATATGGCACAAAAGGAATTAAGGCCAGTTAAATTAAACATTTAGATTCAATCTATCTAACTGGGACTAAATGGAACATTACCAAACTCTTGAGTAAACCCATAATGGTACCCACTTGAAACACCTTATATCAAAATTATAAGGGAGAGAGACAAGTTTGAGCTTTAATGATTATAAAAATAATCTTCTTGAACAAAAAGAAAATGAAGAAAATATTGAAATCAAGATGTTGCACTTCACTAAAGAAATTGAAAGTGAAGAAAATGAACCTTGGCTTCAAACATTAAGAAAAAGGGAAGAACATTTTGCAAAATGGAACCCAATCAAAGATAGATATAATGAAGAATGAGAGTTTATTGAAGTTTACTTTCCCCAAAAGGAAAAGAAGTTAATGTAGAAGAAGTCTTAACTCTATCAAGTATTTTGGAGAAGATATAAAAGATCAGATTTTAGATCTAGAACCCCTAGTTTTACTTCAAAAATCATAAACCTATATTTCAAATTATTCATGAATATGAATCCCAACAAGAGAAAATATCCATCAATGCAATCGTTGATAATCCAAATATTAGTCCTAACTCAAACCCCAGTGGTCCAACTAGATTTGATATTAAAGAAGATTCTAGAACTCCAAGAACACCTAGAGTTTTTGGATCTAAAACATATTAGTTAAGAGGAAGATATCCTATACCTTAAGCATAACTTAAGTATAGGGAGAGAATAGAGAAAGGATAGAATTTGGGAAAAAAATGGAAATAGACCCAAACATGCTACCAAAATAGCAAGGAACTATTTTAGAATCGTTAAAATACCATTTTGGTCCCTCAACGTTCCACTTTAGCATCAAAGTTGTCCTTCAACTTTAAAAAATACCAAAATTATCCTTAAACTTTCATTTTCAATACCAAAACGGTTCTTCCGTCAATCAAATGGACAGGTGGCACGTTAACTTGCCAGCAAATTAATTCTTTTTTTCTTAACTAATGACATGGGAAAAAAAAAAGTATAGTTGGCCAGCTTTTTTTATGAGTTGCTATTTTTATTTAATTCAAAAATAATGACATTTTTTTTCATCCATGTCAAAAAAAAAAAAATGATCTCTTCTTCTTCATTCATTTTCTCTCTCCTTTACCTCTCATTTTCCCTTACCTCTATAAACCCTAAAACTTGAAGCTAAGCATTAACCTTCCTCCTTCCTTAGCCTACTCATCCTTCCTCTTTCTTCTTGTTATTCTTTTTCTCTATCTTCTTCCTTCTTTTTCCTCTCTAAATCAAACCCATATCTGGGTTTTTCTCAAACATAATGGCCACTGGCTCAAAATTCATATTCCGACGATAGCCGAACACACACCTCACGTTTTATAAAAATTTGGAAGAAAAACAACACACAGTCGCCAAAATCTTATGGCATTTGGGTTTCTCAATTCTTGATCTCATTAAGTTGCACCTACCACCTGAATCCCAATGATTTTTGTGACTCTTTCGAACCCTAGCTTCGGCAACTCCACACACTTTCTTGGATATTAACACCTCCAAGAGTTTTATCTACTAGCCATCCGACTTTGGTTCTCTGCAAAATCCCTCTCAAGAGAGGACTCTTTTGGTTTCGCTCAAGTTTTTTACTCACTTTTAGGTTTATTCTTTGAGATTTAAAAATGTCAAACGATTCTCATGGCGCTAAATCTCGAGGCCTTCTCTGCAACGCTGGTGCTGGCATTATTGTAGGTGTGTTCACATTTCATCCTCTCTCTTTTTCTAATTACAATTTTTTTTTCTTTTTTCTTTTTTTGTTTCATTAAATTGTAAAGCAATTATCTTGGAAGCTGGGAAGGACTTGACATTCAAGTCAGAGTGTCGTCACGGTGAGCAACAGGAGAGTTGTCATGACGATGTGGTCGTTCACCTCATAGCTGAGAGCTTTTACCAACCGATCACAAAGGAAATAAAGAAAGAGCCACAGGGCCATCATGATGATGAAGACAATTAGGGAAATGGGGTGCCAGACCAAGTTGAGGAAAATGAGGAACAGGACAACAATCACGTAGTTTGTGCAGAAGAATGCGACATTGGTTCTGATTCGTTGTAGGGAGACATTGACGTTAGATGGGAAGTTGATGGAATTTATACGGATCATCTCCTTCCATGGCTGTCGTGTTTGAGTAAAACCCAGATTTGGGTTTGATTTGGAGAGGAAGAAGAAGGGAGAAGAGAGAGAAAAAAAATAAGAAAAAGAAAAAAGAAGGAAGAGCAAAGAAAGGAAGGAGGAAGGTTGATAGAGAATGAGGAGGCAAAACTGTCAAAGGACGAAAAGAGGAAGAAGATGAATTTTTTTTTTTTCCTTAGGGTTTGAAAACTTGTGAAACAATAATAAAAACAAGCTGTCAATTTTTTTTATTGGATTTACACGTCATTAAAATTAAAAAAAAAAAAAATCCAATGATTTTGTGGCATTTTACATACTACCTATCCATTTAACTAATGCAAGGACAATTCTGGTATTGAAAATGAAAGTTTAAGGATAATTTTAATACTTTTTAAAGTTGAGGAATAATTTTGAGGCCAAAGTGGAAAGTTGAGAGACCAAAATGGTATTTTAACCTTTTAGAATTACCAAGTTGGAATTCATAACTTTGGGCTAAAATAATAGACCAATGGCAAAGAGATGCATGTCGAGTATAGATCAATAGATCTATGAACGATGAGATGTTTTGAATTCATAGAAAAACACTACTAGGTCTAACTATAGAATTGTACTAGAACACTTTTAAAAGCAAAAACCCAACTCTAGTTGTTGAAATACAAGATTTGGCAAAAAAACGTATATAATTTCACTTATTTAATCAAAAAGATGTTTTTTAGGATCTAATATAACTATTGATTCTAAAAAAACTTTACAAAATAAAGCTATTGAGGAATTTGATGTCCTTTAATTAACATCATGGTGTTAAATCGAGTCCTTTTGCAATGATTTTCTCAAACTCGTTGCTAGAATTGGACAAGGATTTGATGATAATTTGAACAATAAGATCTTTGATAAGTTACCAAGCACCCTTGGTAAACAAATCAAAGAAAAATGGTTAGCACCCAACCCCGCACCTCAATAAGAAGCATGTCCTAGAATTATGTTTATATATAAAGTATTAAAAGAAAAGTGTGTATAGATTTAAATTCAAAAATCCCTTAAAAAGCAAAAATTTGGTTTTTGTAAATTTGTAATTAGTAGACATGATTCTTTAAAACAATCATTTAATAGAAAAAAAAAGGTATGAAAAAATCCTAAAAAGAATGTTTGTCACACAAACCTAAAAAATTCATCAAAAAGCAAACATATTCTCTTAGACAAAGTAAAACTTAAAAAAAATGAAAAACTGGTAAAAACTAGAAGTATGTTAAAAAAAACCCAAAAATTCAAAAAAAGACAAGAAATGCTATAGATGTAGAGATCTAAAACACTATGCAAATAAGTGCCCAAATAAAAACAAACCAATAAAAAGATCCCACATATGGGCAAATCTTGAAGAAGATGATGACATTATCTCTACAAATGAATATAAATCTAAAAGTGATGTTTATAGCATTATTTCAGAAGATGTATTTATGGGAGATATGTCTAAATCCAATTATAATCTGAGTATAATATAGATTAGAAAGAGCAAAATCTTCATCAATTTATAGACTCTTTTGATCAAACATTGAATAGTGTTAAGATCATGATAATCAAGGTAGATTCTAAATGAAAACACTCATGGAAATTAAACCAAGTACCACAATGGGAAAAATGTTTAAATTGTCATAGGTTTACACAACATTCTACAAAAATAAAATATACAATATGCTTAAAAGTATATTGTATATTCTTTCAAAGAAAAAAAAAAAAAAAGGCTGAATTGGTGCAGCCTTCAAAACTTGTAAATCAAAAATCCATCTCTATGTCGAATGAGGATCACTTGATTAAAGATGTAGAAAAATTGTCTTTCTTGCAAGAAATGGAATTAGTGAATAAAACCCTCAATCAAAGAGAAATATATATATATCTTGAAATTAGACCCAAAAAAAAATAAAATTTCTCCACCAAAAGATAAAAGGTTTGGAGAGTCAATTAGCAAAAATTCCTCTTAAAGGAACAATTGCCAATGAACAGAGAATAGATAGGAAAAAGCAAATAAAAAGATTTACAACTCATAAATTTGACTTGATCGAACCCAAGCATCTTTATGAAAATGCAAATTTTTTTATTTGCTTTTCAAGATTTATTAAGGTTTAACTTTTATAGATTCTTGAATTTGTTTTCTTTTAAAAAACATCCTAATTAAAGGGTTACCTATGATTTTAGATAATTTCATAATCTTTGGATTTTAAGGTAAAAAAATAAAATTTCTTGAACTAGAGGTTTTATCTTATTTGGTCTTTATGCTGGTTAAAGACAAAAAATTAGATTTTATTTAGCTCAAACCCTCTTTTATGTCAAGGGTTCTTTTTAGATCCATTTTTTTGACTTGCTTCCTAGATTAAATCTTGCCTCTTAGTTTCTAGAAGTATTTTAGCTGATAAGGGAGTGTCTTTCAAAAGATCTCTCTTTTTTTCTTTTTTTTTTCTTTTTTTTTTTTTCACTTAAGATTTCTTCTTGAGCCTTAAGGATTTGTAGTAGCAAAATAAATTGGGTATTCTGCTATCCTACTAATACCTGATCTTGAATTGCTAAATGTTGGAAATTGGTTAATCTGTAGAAATTCCCTAATTTTCCTACTTCATTCATGGCTTCCTAATAGTTTGAATTTTAAGTGAAAAAGTTTTCACCCATTCAAACCAAAACTTAGTCTTTGAAGTTTTCAAACTTGTTTTAACAACTCCTCTTCACTTTGGATCAAGGTAGTTGTATCATGATGGATACTTTGAACAAAAGGATCTGACTCTCTTTTATTCAAAATTAGAGAATTGACTAGATTGATTTGGTTTTTGACAAACTCAACCTCTTGTTGCAAGTAGTCTCAATTTTCAATTATTTTTGTAATATTTTCCTTGTTGTACCTTTCAAAGTTTTAGAACTGTTCAAGTTACTACTTTTTTTTTCTCTTTGTTTTTTATAATTTTCTCAAAAATTTGTAATTAAATCTACTATATTATTTAATTAACTATTATCCAAATGTCAATTATGACAAAAACCTAAAAAATTACGCACTAGCTTATAATTATCCAAAGTTATTTTTGATTTTTTGTCTTTACATGAAATAGCTAAGTCTAAATAGTCTAGATTCATATAATTATTCAAAAATACAAAGTTACAATAATAGTAAACAAATTACTAACACTTAGGTAGAGAATAGTAAACAAATAATAACAAGATAAGGCAAAATTGACCAAAACAAACAAAATAGTAAATGAAATAACAAAATAGTAAATAGAATTATGACAATTAGGTGGAAAAAATAAACATGATAGGAAACTTATAATTTGGGCAAAGAAACTTAAGTAACTAAACTTGACTCTTTAGGAAGGAAATTAATATATTTTGACTCTTTGACAATAAAGTATAACAATCTAAGTTTTTGGCAAAGAAATTTCATCTGTGAACTAAGATTTGTCAACTTTCTATACACATATTCTAATATATAAATGAACTAGCTCTAATACCATTTTTATTTTTTCTTTTGTTTTCCTCTTTTTGCAAATTTGAAAGACTTCTTTCTGCCTTGATTTGCCCATAAATTTCGTCTGTATATATATATATATATATATGGGGTTAGACCCATGGACAAGTTTTCACTTTTTAATTCCTTCCATGTTAACCTAACACATCTGCACATTTAATTAACCAACGGCTTCCTAATATTCAAGTATACCTCATTTAACACCATGGACAACATCACTCAAATTCATCATCAAATTCATCATAAACAACCTAATATTCTAGAGCAACAGAACCGTGCTTTCAAAGACCCAAAACAACAAGTTGAAAATGCTAAGAAGATGTTGATTGCAGTAGTCTTTTTGAGGCAAAATCCAGTGAGGAAATTAGCTTAAGACTGTTGAAATGCCCTAAATGCTGGACAGAAAAGACGGTTTATATCCAGAAATTCAGCAGCAACAAATAAGGAGCTATAACAGTGAAGTTTTATGCTAAAAACAGTGTAGGAAATTACAAAAGAGACCAAGCAAGGTGAAGACTAGAAAAAACAGAAAGAAGAGCTAAATAAATGCAGAAATCAGCGATGATAAAATTAGTGCAGTAAAGTAAACCAAAACCAGTTGTAACAGGGGTGTTCCAGAGCAGAGGAACAGAAGCCTTTTAAAAGTAAAATTCTGGGCTGTTGTTCTCATTTCTTTCATACACAATTTGAGCAAGAAAACATGAAAACCAAAGTGGATTTCATTGGGAAAAATGGAGCTTATTAGTGCAGAACTACAACCACAAGACAAGCCAATTCACGGGTGTTCTAGAGCAAAATACTCGGACAGCTTAACACCAAATTTTATGGTGTGATTTGATGCAGAAAAACAGCTAGTTAACAAGAAATAAACAGCAGAGTTTTGGGGGTTTAAATCGGAATTCTTACCAACGGAACTGCCAACCCAAAATCAATCAAGGCTTAAATTCGAGTGATTGAATACCAGAATTTTCTGTTAAAATTTGAGCAGAGTTAGAGCTAGTAATTCAATATAAATGGTTGACTTACCGAGTATTCCCCATGAGAGGAAGGAAACCTTGGCATGAGAACACTTACCGTTTTATAGGAAGAATTGAAGAAGAAAAGAGGGAGGAGCAGCGGACCAGAGGGATTTGGGTCTGCCTGCGTTCGCGAAAGGAAAAATTACAAAGTCAAAGTGGTGGTCATATAGTTATAAAGAGGAATATAACCCTGGGCAGCAAGGCCCCTTCCTCCCCGTAAAACCAATGTGCGCATCTCTTATAGTTGGTCGGCTCCCCCGCCCCACTTTCTTAAGCTGAATACAGATGGCTCTGTCCTTGGGGAGACGGGGCATGCTTCAGCTGGTGGTTTATTTCGTGATCCTAATGGCAACTGGGTTGTGGGATTTACTCGCCGTATTGGTACTACCAATAGTTTAGCTGCAGAACTATGGGCTCTTAGAGACAGGTTACGATTTGCGGCTAACAATTTTACTCACCTGAAAATTGAGATTGACTCTAGCATTGCCGCTCAATTCATATCTGGTGCTTTCCCCTAAACATTCTCTTTCCTCCCTTGTTTTGGATTGCAGGGAATTAAGACAGCAACTTCCCCATGTTGATATCAACCATATTTTCCGTCAATCGAACATGGCGGCTGTTGCAATGGCTAGACTGGGACATGTACTTCATCAAGATTTTTTTATTTTCACTCACTGTCCCCAAACTGTCAAATTGTTTTGTATCTTGGATATTATGGGGTTTAAATTCCCCAGACCTTAGCTGTATGTTTCTCTTTTTGATCTATTAACCTGTCTCCTATTCCTATCTCCTATTTCTACCGAAGAAAGGAGGAATATAACCAACCACTCTTTCATTTAACGGTACCCATTTTATTTTTAATCCTTTATATCATAAACCACAAACAATTAAGGACCTACATCTAATCCACTTTTAAATAAGTCCTATCCACTTCAAGAAAATATTATTATCATTACTATTATTATTATTATTATACAATTAATTCATTCTACCTAAGCCTCTTAAGAATCCAAGTTTATGTTTAGAAAAATTCAAGGTATTACAATGGTTGAATGGATGGTGTACATCTTTTCAATAATAGTAGCTATCCAATAAAAAAGGAAGTCAAATTTTATCTAAACTTTCTGTATTAAGAAGTAAAAAGGTCAAATTAACATTATTAATTATCTTAGTCTCTCAATTTTATTCTCCCCTTTACTATGCTTAGGTTTTTTGTGAAGATGTAATTCAATTTGTCTCAGATTATTTTTTAAAGTGAAAAAAAAAATTTTCCTAATTTAATTATACCATTATTGTTTTACTTTAATTGTTATCCTATTGTAAAAAATTTCTTTTTATTTTTATTTTTTAAGGGTAATATAA